TAAGGCCTCGTCCATCCTGGGGAAACGACGGCACAGGCTGGCTCTTACGGGGTGCCTAACACGTCCTGTAGTTAAGTGAGAGAGATAGGGAGATAGGGAGAGAGTGAGAGAGGTAGAGATTGAGAGATAGTGAGAGATAGTGAGAGAGGGGGATTGTGAGAGGGATAGTGAGAAGTATAGTGAGATAGGGAGAGAGTGAGAGATATATAGAGAGAATGAGACAATGAGGTAAATAATGAGAGAAAGAGAGAGTGAGAGAGATAGCGAGGAAGATGGTGAGATGGATAGTGAGAGAGGGATAAGATACATCGAGAGAGAGAGAGAGAGAGAGAGAGAGAGAGAGAGAGAGAGATAATGTCACTTTTACTTGGTAACCGTATAGTCCCTCCTTCCTCCTTCTCTCCCTCCCTCCTTCCCTCCTTCCCTTGTCTCCTTCCACCAGGGTCGTTTGCTGTGGAATGTGTGTAGACGTATAGGGGTCTGGTCTCTCTCTCTCTCTCTCTCTCTCTCTCTCTCTCTCTCTCTCTCTCGTCTATCACTTAATCCATCAAGATCAAAGTCCCACTACTTATCCAGTCCAGCACCATCACCCTTCAAGTCCTGAATCTGATCCCTCAAGTCCAAAGTTCAACTACTTCCCCTGGCCAGTACATCACCCCTCAAGTCCAAAGTTCAACTACTTCTCCAGGCCAGCACCATCACCCCTCAAGTCCAAAGTCCTATTATCTCTTATGGCCAACGTCCCTCCAATCTCCTCCAAGCTGTATTACATTCCTAAGTCCGAAGTCCTCTCACATCAAGAGGAGGGACCGCCATCTTGGGGATAGGGCTATGTATCAGTGTACAGAGGAGGACTTAGTGTGTGGTGGCGACCGGGAGAGAGAGAGAGAGAGAAGGGGGGGGTGGTGAGAGGGTGATGAGAATATATAGAGAAAGAAAGATTGAAGAAGAAGAGTAAGAATGAGTTAAAACTGGAGAGGATGGAGATAGTGTTAGAGAGAGAGAGATGGAGACACAGAGAGGTGATAGATGAAAGACAGAGAAAACGAGAAAGATGGAGTAAGGGAGAGTGGAAGAGAGTGAGTGAGGGTGATAGAGAGAGGTGAGGAGTGAGAGAGAAAGCAACATGGAGACGAGATAGTGAGAGAGTGAAAATAACAGTTGATTGAAATAATTTGTTTACTCCCCATAATAACTTTAATAAAACTTTTCTTTACTTAATGCTCTAATATATTTCATCGAATTTTACTATGTTTTATGTCTTTTGAAGTGAAGAGCTGTGTCCATCTGTGCCATGTCTTTGTCCATAACAGTTGCGAACCAAATTGTAAACAACCAACACGTCCCTGAGCTCCCGGGTGAGTTGGTTACCATCCTACCTGCCACAGCCTGGTGAGCTCTGCAACACCTCGCTCCACCTCGCTGATGAAAAGCTTCTGTAATATGCTGCCTTTTTTTTATCCTGTGTAAGCCGTTGTAAATGGTGTATTCCGTTTAATTAAAATGAAGGTATTAATCATTATCGGCTTTAAACTGCTTAAGTTTTACAATAACGAAATTGTAAATTAATATGTAAACATGATTCCAGTATCATCAGTACCATCGTAAATTAGTGAGGTAATTCTGGCGTAATAACTTCATGTTCTGAATCATATTTGTTGGATTGTAAGAGCTTATATCTAATGCCTGGTGTGGCTCCCTGAAAACCAAAGTATTTATATTTGAGAGACTGAATTTGTTGTGGGCGACAATATACAGTGCAGTATATATATTTAACAAAAATATAAAATAAATAATAGTGGCGTTCATCCTGGAAAAGATTATCCCCTTTTTGTAAGACTTTCACAATATTATTTTTACTGTCAGGTGCCCCAGAGTCAGGTAGAACCAATTGTGTATAGAAAAAACTTTCTCTTGCCGTGTCGGATCTCAAGAGCAGTGTAACTTTTATCTTGTCTGCGACACAACTTAGTGATAATGTTTACCTTAGTGACGTAAGTATAAACGTCTGTATCACGAAAACCTCAGAAACAAAAGAAGATCAGTATACTGTACATTAATAAGCTTCCTTCTATGCTTATGAAATTTACTGGCAGAATCACATAGAGAGTAGAAAAGAAACATCAAGGTAGTGTGGTCTCTCTCTCTGCACCGATAACCTTTTGTTACACGAAAGTTGCAAAACAAAATAATACCAAGTGAAAATAAACAACTATTCCTCAACTTCTACAACCTTTATAATTACAAAACACTCAAACAAAACAAGATAAAGTATTAACAAACAAACTTTCTGTCTCTCTCCCTCCAAATATAAATAAAACAAGCGTAAATAAACAACTAAACATTAACTTTCATAACTTTCACCAACAAAACACTCAAACAAAACAAAATCAATTATTAATAACCAAATTTTCTCTTTCTCTTTCCTTCCGCGCCTAAGAAAGACAACATCGAAACAAATGAGCATCAAAGAACCTAAACAAGTGTCCCCTGACCTTGTCCTCTATAATCTCCTGTGTGCTCTATCCCCTTCCCTTATTCTCTATCCCCTTTCCCTATCCTCTATAATCTCCCGTGTACTCTATCACCTTATCCTCTATAATCTCCCGTGTACTCTACCACCTTATCCTCTATAATCTCCCGTGTACTCTATCACCTTATCCTCTATAATCTCCCGTGTACTCTATCACATTATCCTCTATAATCTCCCGTGTACTCTATCACCTTATCCTCTATAATCTCCCGTGTACTCTATCACCTTATCCTCTATAATCTCCCGTGTACTCTATCACCTTATCCTCTATATCCTCTATAATCTCCCGTGTACTCTATCACCTTATCCTCTATAATCTCCCGTGTACTCTATCACCTTATCCTCTATAATCTCCCGTGTACTCTATCACCTTATCCTCTATAATCTCCCGTGTGCTCTATCCCCTACCTTATCCCCTATAATCTCTCGTGTGCTCTACCCCCTTATCCCCTATAATCTCCCGTGTTCTAACTTTCTTTTCCACCGAGAGTAAAATATGATCGCGCAGGCTAAGGTTTTTCTCTAAGTAGAAGATATTAGCTCCAGAAAGACTGTGAAATATGCCTCCGCGTTTTGCATACCTAAACTTATGGGTAATGTTTCCTCTGGGAAGGTTAGGTACTTAGACAACAGGATGAGACTTTATATCATATTTTTCTTTTTAATCCAACTTCTGTCTCTGTTATGTCTTTTTATCTTTCTCTCTCTCTGTCTCTATCTCTCTTTTATCTCTATATCTCTCTGTCTACTGCTTATCAATCTCTACATTTACCCATTCTGTTCAGTCTCTTCTTTTTCTCCTTTCGCCATCTTCCTCTCCTCTCCTCTCCTCTCCTCTCCTCTCCTCTCCTCTCCTCCTTTCTCTCTATTCACAACAAGGTCAACAGTAGTACTTGTAAGGGCGGAACTTACCTGACACGTAGCAAATCCTGACCCGGCAAGACAGTATGAACAATCCACCGATAAAGCTGAAAAAAAGATTGACTGAAAAGACTTGTGAAAGACATATGACTGATAATGTGACCGAGGATTGGCAAAGATCGGGTGATGGTGGCTGATGGTGGTGATGGTGGTTGGTGGTGGTTGATAGTGGTGGTGATGGTGGTGATGATGGTTGGTGGTGGTAGAACGACGTCACTTTCACTTATATCAATCACGGATAAAACAAACAACAAAAAATCAAAAAACAGATAAATGTTATAAACCTCTACTAAAACAGACGACACAGACAGTGATGTAGACTAACAGACAGAAGTAAATCGTAGACAGACAGGAACGTAAACAGACACTAATAACAGACAGAGAGGAGAGGAAGAGTATAGGAATTGGGGAGGAAGGGGGGGGGAGGGGCGAAGGAGGAGGTCAGGTTTACGTATGAGGGTGAAGAGGAGGGTTACTGTGTCATGGTACAGGGACAAGGTGTTTTCTCTCTCTCTTTTTCTCTATCTCTCATTATCTCTCTCTCTCTCTCTCTCTCTCTCTCTCTCTCTCTCTCTCTCTCTCTCTCTCTCTCTCTCTCTCTCTCTCTCTCTCTCTCTCTCTCTCTATCGCTCTTTTTCTCTAACTTTCTCACTCGATCTCTATTTATTTCCCTATCCCTCTCTCTTTTCTTTTTGACTTTCTCATTCTATCTGTCTAATTTTCTTTTTCACACTCTCTCCTTCTGTTTTCACTCTCTCTCTCTCTCTCTCTCTCTCTCTCTCTTTCTCTCTCAGCACAGCACACTTCCTTGAGGCGAAAGACCTTGATCGATCCCAAATAACAAGTTGTCACAGAGACGATAAATTAATCAAGGCTTCTCGCTATGTCAACAACATAAGAACATAAGATTGGAAAAAACTGTAGCGAGCCTATTGGCCCCATTTACACCCAACCCCTTGTGCTCATATGTCCATCCAACCTGTGTTTGAAGCTATCCAGCGTATTCTAGTTAATGATGATGTTTGGTAACTTGTTCCATTCATCCACTACTCTATTTCTAAAGCAATATTTACCAATTTCGCGCCTAAATCGTAATTTGTCTAATTTAAAACCATTGTATCGAGTTCGCTCCTGGTTCAATAGTTTGAGTACTTTTGTTATGTCCCCTTTGTTTAGACCTGACTTCAATTTATACACCTCCATCATATCGCCCCTCACTCTACGTCTCTTGAGGGAGTGCAAATTAAGAAGCTTAAACCTGTCTCTGTACTTAAAGTTCCTAATGCCCGGGATTAGTCTTGCCATTCCCCTCTGAATTATTTCTAGGTATTCTATATCCATTCTGTAATACGATGACCAGAATTGAACTGCGTAGTACATGTGAGGTCTCCCAAGCGCAGGAATTATTTTTTTTTGCTGCACATCTCTGCACTATTATTAACATTATTTCACGTGTTTTTGCCTCCGTACCACACATTTATTTTCAGTACAGATGACCCTGAATCACACCGTATGACCTGACCTCTATTTTTACTCTCTTGGCCAGCCACTACGACCGTCTCCAGGGTGGTACTGGCAGGCCTCACCGCTAGACTGCCGTGCGAGCTGCCCCTCCCCCCTGACAGGCCTACCCTTATCCTATGGTACAGGAACCAAGCCACTAAACCCTTCTACAGGTAGGTCTTAATATCTACAGTAAGTGTTCCTCTTTCTACAGGTATATCTTCTTGTACAGGTAGGTAATCCTTGCTTCTACGGGTAGGTAATCTCTTTTCTATAGGTAGTTTTTCCCTTCTACAGGTAGGACCAATTTTCTACAGGTAGGCTCACTATTTTGCAGGTAAGCTCTCTCCTCTACAGGTAGGCTCTATTTTCTACAGGTAGGCTCTCTCTTCTAAAGGTAGGCTCTCTCTTCTACAGGTAGGCTCTCTCTTCTACAGGTAGGCTCTCTCTTCTACAGGTGGCTCTCTCTTCTACAGGTTGGCTCTCTCTTCTACAGGTAGGCTCTCTCTTCAGGTAGGCTCTCTCTTCTACAGGTTGGCTCTCTCTCCTACAGGTAGGCTCTCTCTTCTACAGGTAGGCTCTCTCTTCTACAGGTAGGCTCTCTCTTCTACAGGTAGGCTCTCTCTTCTACAGGTAGCTTCTCTCTTCTACAGGTAGGCTCTCTCTTCTACAGGTAGCCGCTCTCTTCTACAGGTAGGCTCTCTCTTCTACAGGTAGGCTCTCTTTTCTACATTTCTACAGGTATGCCAAGATAATATTATGTTGAAGGTGACTTGACTGTGGATAGGTGCATGTGGATATAGAACATATATGTGTGGATAGATTTGGGTTACTAGTAATGCATGTGGGTAGATGGATGAATGTGGATACAGCGTGTGAATGCATTAGTGTAGATACAGTGTCTGGGTGGGTACATGCTTATGGATAAAGCCTGTAGGTGGATAGGGGTGTGAATACATTGCAGAGGTGGATAGATACGGATACAGCATTAAGATAGACGGATAAATGCGGATATAGCGTTTTGATGGACATTAGCAGACTCAATCGTTATATAGAAATATTGTGTGTGTGAGTGAGACAGAGAGAGAGAGAGAGAGAGAGAGAGAGAGAGAGAGAGAGAGAGAGAGAGAGAGAGAGAGAGATGAACAAGCAAATGATGTGAGAAGAGAAGGCTACAGTACCCAGTCTTGGTAGAGAAGTAAGACTATTATCAAGTATAATTAAGTACACAAAGGTAATATATAGTGTATTAATGCAGTCATGAGAGTTACCATTAATTACCACCAGAAGTCAAGAGATCTCATATAATTTCATGGTGTGGTCAACCGCTTGTCATTAAATCTTACCAAAGGTCATCTGAGGTCGACCACATGCCATTAGATTATACAAAAGGTCACGGTTCCGTTATGTATCATCAATATTTTTAGAGGTCAACTAAGGTCACTGATTGTTACAAATATGTATATATCAGAAAGGTTAAAAGAGGTTAATATTTTTTTTTTTTTTTTTTACAGTTTCGACGCCAGGAATTCGACGACTGGACGCCACAAGTACTATGACGATTCACCGCTGGGTCAGAGGTCAAAGTTTAAGCTGGAGACCTTTCAACACAACTTCCAGGTGAGATGGTGTTAATAAGCTGTTTGTTACCTGTGATTAACCCCTGTATCTCTCTCTATTTGCTCTCTATCTCTATCTATTTCTCTCTCTCTATCACTATCTCTCTCTCTTTCTCTCTTTCTCTTTTTCTCTCTATCTCTTTATCTCTCTCTCTCTCTTTCTATCTCTCTATCTCTATCTCCATTTTCTCTCTCTCTCTCTCTTTCTATCTCTCTATCTCTATCTCCATTTTCTCTCTCTCTCTCACTTTATCTCTCTCTCTCTCTGTTCCTGCACAGCTTCAAGATGAGGGTGTTTATCAAGGCCAGAATATACCGTGTTATTTCCACCGTGTTTCTGCTGTTGACGTTAAAAGATTATTTATTTAATTATATAAAGTTTTGTGATGGATTATCTTTCTCTGTTTCTCTATCTCCGTCTTTCTCTGTCATTTTATCTGTCTATTTATCTGTCTATATTTCTGTCCTTGTCAAAACGTCTGTCTTTAAGTCTGTCTATCAGTTTGCATCTCTTTTATCTATCAGTCTACCTATCTATCGATTTATCTACCTATTTACCTTACCGTCTATCAATTGTTTACTTCTCTCTCTCTCTCTCTCTCTCTCTCTCTCTCTATCACACACAAACATAAACAAACACACGTACAAACAATATTTTAGAGACAACCTCAGTATTACAAACAATATCCCGTGGCTAACAGTTTGTTTGTCTTAGGGGTTTGTTTATTTCCTAATGTCATTATTATTTTTACCACAGAAGGAAACAACATGTAGTGTAAACAGCCTCAACACACAGCTGCAAACAAGATATTGTACTCAAGGGGTTATGGTATCATACTCAACGGGTTAAATCATTGTACTCAAGGGGTTATGTCATCGTACTTAAGGGGTTAATTCATCATAGTCAAGGGGTAAAATCATCGTACTCAAGGTGCTAAATCATCATTTTTGAGGGGTTAAATCATCGTACTCAAGGGGTTAAATCATCGTACTCGAGGTGTTAAATTATCATAGTCAAGGGGTTAAATCATCGTAATCAAAGGGTTAAATAATGGTACTCAAGGTGTTAAATTATCATACTCAAGGGGTTAAATCTTCGTACTCAATGGGTTAAATCATCGTACTCAAGGGGTTAAATCATCGTACTCAGAGGGTTAAATAATCGTACTCAAGGTGTTAAATCATTGTACACAATGGGTTAAATTATCGCACTCAAGGGGTTAAATTATCGTACTCAATGGGTTAAATCATCGTACTCAAGGGGTTAAATTATCGAACTCAAGGGGTTAAATTAAATTATCGATCTCAAGCGGCTAAATTATCGTACTCAAGGGGTTAAATCATCGTACTCAAGGGGTTAAATCATCGTACTCAATGGGTTAAATTATCGTACTCAAGGGGTTAAATCATCGTAATTGGGGTTAAATTATCGTACCTATGGGGTTAAATCATCGTACTCAAGGGGTTACTTAGGAAAAATAAATCCTGAATAAAAATACGCAAATTCAACCACTGATAATCGCCTGAGTTCACTTGATCACCCTAAGTAAAAGAATGATATAAAAAAAAAAACCAGGACTTATAATACTTAAAAAATTTATGAATAGGAAATAAATAAATAAAACGACTGAGATATTTGATAATTTAGGGAAATATTTAGGAGACGCTAAAGTTATAAATGGGAGAACGAGGTGGAAATAAGGAGAAGAATAATTGATAATTCTGGGAAGTATTGGAAAACCGTGAAAATTTAAATGGAGTGTCGGGTTGAAAAATGAATGACCATCGGTAGCTGAGAGAGAATGAGAGCTGGTGGAGAGAGTGTTAGAGAGGGAGGAGAAGGGAGGAGAGGGTGGTGGAGGGGAGGAGAAGGGGAGGAGAGGTGGTGGGAGAGTGTTGGAGAGGGAGGAGAATGGGAGGGGAGAGGTGGTGGGGAGAGTTTGGAGAGGGAGGAGAAGAGGAGGGGAGGAGGGTGGTGGGAGAAGGTGTTGGAGAGGAGGAGAAGGAGAGGGGAGAGGTGGTGGTGGGAGAGAGTGTTGGAGAGGGAGGAGAAGAGGAGGGGAGAGGTGGTGGTGGAGAAGGTGTTGGAGAGGAGAGAAGGAGAGGGAGAGGTGGTGGTGGAGAGAGTGTTGGAGAGGAGGGGATGGGAGGTGAGGTGGGAGAGAGGTTGGAGAGGGAGGAGAAGGAGAGGGGAGGTGGTGGTGGAGAGAGGTTGGAGAGGGAGGGAGGGGGTGAGAGGTTGGAGAGATTGTTGGGAAGAGGAGAAGGGAGGAGAGGTGAGAGGTGGTGGTGGTGGAGAGAGTGTTGGAGAGGGGAAGAAGGAGGGAGAGGTGAGAGGTGGTGGTGGGAGAGAGTGTTGTGGAGAGGGAGGAATGGGACAGGGAGGTGAGAGGTGGTGGGAGAAGGTGTTGGAGAGGAGGAGAATGGGAGGGGAGAGGTGGTGAGAGAGTGTTGGAAAGGGACGAGAAGGGAGAGGTGAGATGTGGTTGTGGTGGTGGTGGAGAGAGTGTTGAGGAGAGGAAGAAGGGAGGGGAGAGGTGAGAGGTGGTGGTGGAGAGAGTGTTGGAGAGGAGGAGAATGGGAGGGAGGGAGGTGGTGAGAGAAGGTGGAGAGGGAGGAGAATGGAGGGAGGTGGTGGTGGGGAGTGTTGAGAGGAGAGAAGGAGAGGGAGAGGTAGGGTGGGAGAAGGTGTTGGAGAGGAGGAAAGAAAGGGAGAGGAGAGGTGGTGGTGAGAAAGTTGGAGAGGAGAGAAGGAGCGAGGGGAGGTGAGAGGTGGTGAGAGAGGTGTTGAGAGGAAGGGGAGAGGGGTGAGAGGTGGTGGTGAGAGAGTGTTGGAGAGGGAGGAGAAGGGAAGGGAGGAGGTGGTTGTGGTGGTGGAGAGAGTGTGAGAGGAGGAGAAGGAAGGTGAGAGGTGGTTGTGGTGGTGGTGGAGAGAGTGTTGAGAGGGACGAGAAGGAGAGGTGAGAGGTGGTTGTGGTGGTGGAGAGAGTGTTGGAGAGGAGGAGAAGGAAGGAAAGAGGTGGTTGTGGTGGTGGTGGAGAGAGTGTTGGGTGGTGGAGAGGGAGTATAGAGAACGAGAGAGGGGCAAGATGAGATTGTGAAAATGATGGAGAGGAAGAAGGAAAGGGAAACCTGGTGGTGGAGAAAGGAGAAAGGAGTGAGGGAGAAGTGAGAGGTGGTGATGGAGAGGATGTTGGAGAGGTAGTTTACTGTCTGATAGAAAAATTATACCTAAAGAAGTTAGGCTAGGTTAGGCTAGGTTAGGTTAGGTTAGGTTAGGTTAGGTTAGGTTAGGTTAGGTTAGGTTAGGCTGTGTGTGAAACTATTAATTTTGGCCTAACTGTATTTCTTAAGGTCTACAGCACATGATCGTTTACGGCCGGTCACAAGTTTCCCCCAAAAGTGAACTATATAAAAGTTATCGCTAATCGGCAATTATCCTTATTCAGTATAACATAAACACTGAGCAGTTGTTGATAAGTAACACTGTATGTAGACGATTAGTTCCTGGTGATATGAGTGACCTACCACCACATCCCGAGTGACGTCACAACATGGCCACCGTTGAAATTACCTTGATTTTTATTTACAATTTGTTAAAAAAAAACCCACGTATTCATTTACTCTCGGAAACAGTAAAAACCTCAAAGAAAAAAATCAAAGTAACGAAACAAATCTCGTGAATAATGGCGAGTTAAATCCTCTTATTTGAAGATTAAATTTTCATGTCGACATTTCATCAGTTAGAGAACACATTTTGGAGGAATGGAATGTTAGGTTGTTCTCTCTAGAATTAGTTAGGTCGTTTATTAATGACGGAGGGAGGGGAGGCGACCCAGGTAAATCTATTCCGGAAAATGATTAGTCTTGATTCAGCTATACCGGAATGACGTAATGCGCGGGGTCAGAGGTCAAGGCGCAGGGTCAGAGGTCAAGGCGCAGGGTCAGAGGTCAAGGCGCAGGTTCAGGTGATGAGCGGTGATGTGGTGAGTGGAGGAGGATGGGGAGTGGGAGGAGGAGGAGGTGAGGGAGTGGTTAGAGGAATGGGCGGAGGAGAAGGGAGGTGGTCAGTGGAGGAGGTGATGAAAAGGGAGAAAGAGGTGAAGTGGAAGGAGGTGAAGGGGGCAGAGGAGGAGTAAGTGGAGCAGATGAGGAAGTAGTAGTAGTAGTAGTAGTAGTAGTAGTAGTAGTAGTAGTAGTGTAGTAAGAGGAGGAGGAGAGTAAAGAAAATGGAGGGAGAGGATAAAAAAGAACAAAGGAGTAAAAGAAAGAAAGAAAGAAAGGAATATATAACAGTAAATAAAATGAAAAAAATTAATAACAAAAAGGAATAAAATAATGAAACAGAATAAGACAAATTTGTTACCTGTTGAATCACTAATTAGAGGTGAACTGGAAGCAACATTCATAAATGTTTATAAGTTAAGTTTTCAAACATAAATGGTCTTTTCTCTCCATTTATTAAGAAAATAAACTATTGCACAATTACTAGGATATCACCGTAATTAAAGCTATGAGCTGTGAGCGTGAATAATGGTCGAAGCTTGTAAGTAGTTAGCTTCGTGATTACACGTCTAGCGGGCGTGAGAGACAGACTGGCCGAGAGCGGGTTACTTTATTCACGACCCTGCAGTCAAGAGACGAGGGTTCAGTGGGAATGCACAGTCACATCTCCACTTGATGACTACTCACGGCTCAGAGGAAAGTTACCGTGGGTGATGTAATTATATAAACCTAATGTATATAACCCACATTTATATAAGTATTAGCCCATGTTTGTTAGAAAGGGCTGATACAAGTTGATAAAAACTTATAGAAAGAATAGGAAGAGGCACCCGGCAATAAAGAGAGGAAGAGAATAAGACAATAAATGAAAATATGAAGAAAAACGAAAGATAATGAACAGAGATAATGAAAGAGGAACACGGGATGGGAAATGAATGGATAAGAATATAAGGATTGTATGAAAAATAGTGAATAAATTAATACCAGTTAAGTATC